CGACCGGTTACTTCCTGAGAACCGGCTCAAAAGAACGATTCGTTCAAGAACCGAACATCACTAATAGACAGCAAGAGAAAGCATATTTCCAGTTCTGAGTGGACTTTTGTACAGGATAAAATGAATACACCATTGTGTCGTAAGTCTGTGGCTGTCAGGATTAGTTTTATGTTTCAATTCTCTCTGACATTAATTCCCTTCACGCTCAGTAAGTCTGAAAATTCGGCAGATTTACTCCGAGGATCTGAGGGAAATGGATTTAAACCAGTCAGGCGTTGACAAAATACAGCAGAAATAAGCATGAATCATCTGTCTAACATGAAGAGCACCATGCAACATTGCATATGCATGCTAATACATGGCTACGACCATGACGCATACACACTGAGGTAGATGGTGAGAGAAAGTTAAGTATTTAGCACAAATTTGACCTAGAATATGGGCTGACCTTCATCCAAGTGATGGAAAAAAGAAAAGCTGATTAAACAAAAGCCAAAGGAAAATACATGGTTTCCCGTGGTAAAATCATTGTAACATATGTCAACTTGTGGCCTATTGCTTTATTGAATGCATGGACGTAGCATTCACAGTGTTAAACCGCATGGGATACATTGAGAGTTTGTGGGAGTGCATTTATAAATCTCTGATGAAAATACATTTAGGGGTTGATGCTCTTATGGATGTAACTTGGTTACAAAACCACAGCTAACAACTTTGACCTCCATAAATCCATAGTAAAGCAAACAAATGGAGCAAATTTAACACCCCTGTAAGGGTTCCTCAGAGACGTTTCAAAGTTAAATCACTGCAAGAGTGTAAAACAAGAGTGTCAAAGCAAGAAGTATGAAAGAACTTTGTGAAGCTCCCAGGGGTCTTCAAACGTGACTGGCATTGACTTTCATTGGCTTTCAGGTATTCATTTGCCCCCTGCTGGTCAAAGAGTCACTGAACAAATCAGTCAACTAATCTTTTTGGTCATAATCTCCATCACTAGTTCATAAATGTGCTGAAAAGGAACAAGAGAGACTTGCATTGCCGAATAATCACTGGTCTCCAATAATAACATTACCTCCCATCTCAATTTGATCAAAGACCACCTGGAGGATCCAAACAGCCATTGGTGCACTGGAGCAAAAGGAGCCGAAACAAAAGTTTAAAGTGTCAGTATCAATAATAAATGTCCCACAAAAACAAAACACAGTATTCCAGCTGAACAGCTTCATCCCAGGCTTGACATGTGGGGTTGGGAGTATTCAGGGATGTTCTTGCGCTGCTCCAGGAAACTTTACAGGAGAATGTCATTGTGTCAGGCAGTGCGCCTGTGCCAACTGGGTCATGAAGAAGCACAGTGATCTGAAAAACACATGTAAAGAGCCGTGGCACGGCAGGCAGAGCATGTGCTCAGTTTTTGATGATGTGAGTCCAGACTGCATTATGTCCTAATACATTTCCTCCACTATATTCCCAGAGTTACACCCTCCATTGTCTGTCCTATATATTAAAGGCAAAAGACCATAAATAAACTGCATGGAAATCTACAAGGGTTGAAAAAAAGAACTTATGCAATCTGGAATGACCAAGTTAAATGGAATAATTCACCTAATAATGACAGTACTGTCATCATTATTCATCCTCATGTTGTTTCAAAACATAGGCAGATACTTTTGCTTATAATTTTAACCCTATAAAGCCTACTGCCTCATAGTTGATACACAAATCCTAAGGCCTCTAAATTATCACCATAATCAAAACTTTGCTAGAAAGCTGTTGTACAAAATCTACTACATGCCATTTGTCATCTGATTAATAGGTTAGATTTTTTTTTTCCAAGTAAAAGGCCTTTTAGTGTAATTCTACAAACGTCCACTTACAGGTCGTGGTTGTTTTTGCTGTGAAATCTTTATTTACTTTTATCATGTAAACATAACTTTTATTTTGTCAGTAATATTTCAAGGTGAACACTTACTGGACTTAAGTAATGCAGGTTTACATGATTATCCATACATCATTTTTTAGAACAATCATGTTGAAATATGATCAAATATGATCATCAGGCTTTTGAGGAACGATTTTTTTCTCTCAATAATCATTGTAATGCATTGCATTAAATGTTTTGCCCCCAAAATAAAATAAAATAAATAAATACATACATACATATAAATTAAAAGTGATTCATAGAACCAAATGCACAACACACATGATTTTCAGATTTTCAGTGAATTATGATGAAAATTGCTGTCTGTTCCATAGAATATAGCACATGAAATACTTCTATGGCTATGGCACCCTACATTTCAATGCTAAATCTCCACGCACAGATCCCTGGGTGGCCCGATTTACTCTTTATGACTGTTGCTCATGGCAATACACATGTAAAATCTGTCTGTAAAACCTTTTTACAAACTCCAGTAAGAAAACAACAGACTCTGAGTAAATAAATGAAACAAATGGGCTTCGAAACAACCCTGCATGTCTTCATTCCACAAATTGGTTGAGAAATCTTTTTAATTAAGGACAAAAGCAACACATCCCCTCCGGGAACAATATTCCCTCACAGGCAGGTCTGTTCACCGCTTCCCAAAACATATCAAGAAGTTCAAAGTCACTCCTTCTTCAACCAGCATGTAATCAGAATCGGTACTGAGAACACAAATTAGAACTTTAAAGTCAACTAGGAATGGCATATGCAACACTTTTAACTTTCAAAGGCCAAGTACACACTGTAAAGTTTCAGGAGTGCCAACCGTATTTAAATACTTGAGTGAATGCCCTAAATTACAGTTTTGTGTGTGCACAGAACAGAACTCGCTCTTGAAACTGCAAAGATTGACACCATGGTAACCATAGCAACGGTATGCCATCTTGCACATTTGGTATCCGCAATTTGTGTTGTGTAATAAGTAATATTACAGCGACCAAACCCTTGTTATGTTCGGCGATTTTAACTAAACCACCGTTGACAGAGCTGTTGTGTTTTGTTTGTTTGGAAGTCAGCTTCACAGAGCCAGGGTTGCCAGGTCTGCATACAAAAGTAGCCCAATGACCATATCCCAAATATCAAAACTCAAAATATGCAATTCCCATACCTAAAGTACATATTTTACAGTCACTGTTATGCTATTTGAAAACCAATATCATTGTGATCATAAACACAACTCAAAGGCTCCTTACCAGTGGCTTAATTTCCTTCACAAAACTGAACATCTAGCAGAGTTTCATCATTGGTAGAATATAACATATTTTAGTACAAGCATTTCAGTCAAATGAAATTTATGGATTATGTCAAACCATTAACCCGCAGGGGGGGAGGGGAAATAACCCACAGCAACCATTTAAAAGTAGCCCAATTCCGCGAGAAAACAGCGGACTTGGCAACCCTGCGCAGTGTGTGCTCTTGAAACATGTCCACTTATTATAATTGAGGCTTATTGAGCGTCTTTGGCTTTGATGTTTGGGCTCGGCTCATGAAACGATACAGATTATGGAGTTAATAAAGTAGACAGATGCAGGTCACTATATTTTATTATGTGTCTTACTTCCAAGATAACACATTTGGATCTGAGCTTATTATGGGCTTGTTTTTTTGTTTTTTTTTGTTTTTTTTCCCCTAGCAAGATCTGGCAATACAAAAAGGGCAATACCCCTGTGATTTTTTTTTGCACCGCACAAATCGAAAAGACACAACTCTTTAAATACGGCATTAACAACTAATTGTCAATGGTTGTAGAATGCCGTTTTCTCTCCAGTAAATTGCTGAACTGTGTGTGTACACAACAGGACTAAGCACTAAAAGGTGAATTGACAACCGAATTTAGCTGCAGTGTGTATGTGGCCATGTTTCTGAGTGAAAAAAACTGTGAGCTTGATTTTACCAGTGACTTACCATCGACTTTATGAGACTAACTGGTCTCTGCTGTCCTCCGATGAGCAGGTGTGGTTCGATTATGTCATAATGCTCCAGCGTGTCGTGTTGATTCGGATAGGCAGCTGAAAGAAGGAAAAACAAGTAGCCTATGTGAAATCTCCACAATAACGCAAACCACTGATCTTTGGTCTAGACATTTCATTGACTGACGATATCACTAAAACACCGACTAAGCCTGCTGAGCATTACTTTTTTAAAATCACTCACAGATTGTCTTTCTTCAATCCATGCTATTTATAAATCTCTTTGGCGTTTGCATTCGTAGCCTGCTGAGGTGACGGCATGAACACAACATTGCTAATCGATGCTTTCAAACATCAGGTTTGCCCTGACAACAATCCCCCTGGAAACTGCATCTATTTCAGGTCTGATTCGATTTAGATCAGACCTCTATAATGACCTAATGAAGCTCTTTCTTGTGGCCTCGTCTGTCCCTATATGCTATAAAAGTGATATCATATGTACATATCATACATTCATATCTGTACAGTGCCGCGTATCTCAAGCAGATTCAGCTAAATTTCAGAGAAACCACAAGAAGAATTTAAATTAAAATGGTTATGTTGTGTTATATTAAAATTAAACGGCAAAATTAAATATATGCATGTAAACTGACATCACATTTCTCATTCAAAAGAAAATGCATCACTGATCTCTTAATTTCTCTCACACAATAGAGGTCTTTTTAAAATAGGTTTTGTTACTGCAAAACTGCATTATGAACTATAATAATACTGTATTTTTTTTCCATTCAGCATTAATTTACAATTTCTTTCCCATGTCAAAATGACATACAGTAAGTATATATATATATATATATATATATATACATACTGTATGTCATTTTGACATGGGAAAGAAATTGTAAATTAATGCTGAATGGAAAAAAAATACAGTATTATTATAGTTCATAATGCAGTTTTGCAGTAACAAAACCTATTTTAAAAAGACCTCTATTGTGTGAGAGAAATTAAGAGATCAGTGATGCATTTTCTTTTGAATGAGAAATGTGATGTCAGTTTACATGCATATATTTAATTTTGCCGTTTAATTTTAATATAACACAACATAACCATTTTAATTTAAATTCTTCTTGTGGTTTCTCTGAAATTTAGCTGAATCTGCTTGAGATACGCGGCACTGTACAGATATGAATGTATGATATGTACATATGATATCACTTTTATAATAAAATTAAAATAAAATAAAATGTTTCATTAATAATTAATAAACATATGTACATATATAATTGTATAATTTCTAAAATACATCTTATTTTATTTATTATTTATTTATAATTGCCATGGTTATTTTTGCTATGCCAGCACAGCAGCTCACTGCAGTATTTTGGACCAGAGCCTCTGGGTTTTTGACCAAGCATAAGCAAATGGTTTCCTCCCAGACAGTTTACCACAGAGACATCAACAATATAAACACATTTACACTCACTGAACTCACTGATTACAACACCACACACACACACACACACACACACACACACACACACATACACACATCAAGCATTTATCAAGAATGGCACCAGCAGTGCATTTCGTTAATCATGTATAAAAACACTTCATTATGCAGTGACAGCAAACTGTTAAGGGTGCAGTTTACAATACAAACTCACTGAACGTGCAGAAAACCATGCTAGCCCAAACAAAAGAGTTCACTAGCATCTACATGCAACCGCCTCACGTGATTCGTCTTCATTAAAGCTTAACTGAAACATCCTCTTTGCAATACACACACGTCTTCCTGTTTGGTTTATAATGCATGCAAGTGAGAAATTAAACGATTACAGTTGCAATCAACTATTGCAACTGAGGAAATGTGTTCATTTGCATTTTAAATAAACATGTTAAGGCACACATCCAACATGACAACTGTTTGTAAAGGTAACCACCAATTATATGCACCAGACTGGCCAGATTTGAAGGCAGATTTTAATGTAGATATGTAGATAGTTCACAAGGTTTTGGATGTCTTTAACATTTTTAACCTGTCTGACCCACAATCTCATTTCATAGACCTCAAATTCCCTCTGTTCTGTGCTCATGTCTCCCTTCGTCTCTCTCCTCGAGTGTGTGTGTGTGTGTGTGTGTGTGTGTTTTACGGTGAGCAGGTCTTCCTTTCAGACTGAGGCTGTAGATTAGTCAACTCAACTTTATGCCTGCTTTATATCTGATACTAGGGTTTCCCTCTCGCTGAACACACTGTGAAAAGAAACAGAGACTGTGGACAGATAACATTAGAGGTCGACTGATTAATCGGCGCTAGTTGATTGCAGGAACTATCTGCAAAAATCCATACCGATAGTTTTTCCGGGTTGCATCCTTTGCTGGATTGGCTGTGAATGTCTGCTGTCATTACGCCTGTTCAACACCTCAAGCTCGAGCTTCGCATCAGCTTTACGTCAGTGTAACTACTTTGTCACCGCAGATGCAGACTCGCCAGAGTATTCACACATCACAGCAGCGGCTCCAAAGCTACATATTTCTTTACAAAGACAACTATAAATTTGTTTTTAGAAGTTATAAACTTGAAAGTTTTAAAGTCTTGAAAGCTTGTTAACACGGGGATTCGCATGTAAATGGTAAACAACATAAACAAGTCAGATCATGTCGTTTCAGTCATACTTCGATATAGAACTTGCTGTTTATAGCGTTCTTTTTTAAAATACGCCATAATTTTCCCCAAACTGAATAATTAAAAACAAGTTTAAATGGGTAAATCTTTTCTATATATTTTTGATTCTTCATTTTCTTTTCTGACATACTCCAATTCATGTTAACATGCTGGACATGCTTATTCTGTGCATTTTTAGCACTTTAGCACTCACTCACAAAAAAGTTACTAAAAATAACACTAAAATATTTTATTGATATTATTTGATATTATTAAATATTATTTATAAGATTATGATTTATATGACTTATATATACATACATGAATTATGGTTCATATGTAAATTTATGTGTGTGCACCTGTATGTAAGGCTCAACAATTAGGAGAGTCACTCAGTCCCTTTCCTGCTTTTCCACGTTTGCATGTTTGTATTCATATGAATTTAAGTCAAAGAAACACAAAGTTTAGTGACTTCAGCTACACCAAACCACCCCATTACACGGCTTAGGCTGTATATCTAACGGCTGATGAAGAATTAGCCATAATTTCCATGGCAATAAATCTGATCCTAAATAATCAAGCCCAGAGCCTGACAGATCTGAATCCAACACCAGCGGCTCCTGAAAGTGGCCTAATGCCGGCAGAACGGCGGTTTTGAGGTTAGTTTGGGTGACGGAGCGGCCGGGTCTGCACTGACATCACCGTTTTACAACCGCGGCCGACGCACACATGGAATCGCCATCACGTTTGTAGCGGTTTCATTTCGGTGGGCCTTTGAAGACGCCGTACACCTCTACGAACGACAGTTGAGGGTGAATAGATGATATTGTTAGAGTGCTTTTAATGTTCACTTGTAAACGGAGTAACGGAGGGAGAACTGGAGCTCACGTGTGCCAAAAACAAGCGATATTTGTTCATTTTAGAAACTCTTGCTTGTGTGGTGGAGCAGTTTAAGAGAGTCAGTAAATTATAAAGTTATAGGAGATGTGGTGAGGGAGTGAGGCTCCAGCGCTTATTTACATGCTCAATAAAGCAGAGCGAGAAACTTTAGCTATTACACTCTTCACCCGCGCTGTTATTTATCCATCTGCAGTCGAGTCAATAAAGCGAGCGTGCGGTTGGGAGTGTCAATGTTATATGTGTTTGTTCTTTATTGGCTGATCTTTTGTACTGGGTTTGTGAGAGCAAATGACTGAATAATAAAGGTATAAAACTTTGAAGTGGTGGCTCAGAAATCGCGTGTCATCGCCAGATGCAAATAGAATCAATCCTTTTCTCAATATTTGAAGCACTGCGGCAAACATGCACACTGGGTTTGTGTGAATAAGTGACAGTTTTCTGCTTTGATCTGTGAAACACCATCAGAAACAATAAAATATCTCTATATAGATGCTCTAAAAGTCCACAGTGACTTAACATCATTTTTGAGGAAACTTCTGACTCCAGAATGTTCCTTGAGCAATAATATGTTTGTTTTTATAACCCTGGCTAGAAAAAAAAAACTAAACTGGTCTAAACCGGTCTTAACTAGTCTTCCAATCTGGTCAGGCTGAAATATTGATGGTTTTAAAGAGAATTTGGACACTTTTCAGGCAGGAAGATCAGCTAGACTTAAATAAATAAATAAAATACTTAATAAATTTGCTGCATATACAGTATATATACACACATATTAAAACATTTAATATGGCCTACATATTAAAAACGATATAAAATATGCTATACTGTAAATATGATATAAAAAAGTGGTTGTGTGAAGTATTTTACAAAAGTTTAAGGATTTAAGTTAATCTGTAAACATTAATTCATGTATGAAGTAAAAAATAAGCTAGTATTATAGTAAAAATGAATCAACCCATTAGCTGGGTTAAATAAACAACACAATTTGCTGAGTAAAATTAAGCCAAAATGTGTTCAGTCCTGCGTAAATCTTTTCTATATATTTTTGATTCTTCATTTTCTTTTCTGACATACTCCAATTCATGTTAACATGCTGGACATGCTTATTCTGTGCATTTTTAGCACTTTAGCACTCACTCACAAAAAAGTTACTAAAAATAACACTAAAATATTTTATTGATATTATTTGATATTATTAAATATTATTTATAAGATTATGATTTATATGACTTGTTATATTATTTATAAAAATACATTATACTTTTATTTATAATATACATAATTTTCATGGTTATTTTTTATAAATAAATAAACAAAAAATTAAGAAAAAAAAATATATAAATAGCCATGTTATATAATAACAACCCAATTTGCTGGGTAAAATTAACCCAACATGTGTTCTGTCCTATATTTACCCAGCCCTTGGGTTAAAAATAACCCAAATTGGGTTGTTTTTAACCCAGTGTTTTTAGAGTGTAGCAGACCAGTTTAAACTAGCCAAGACCATCTCAAAGAAGATTTCCCAGAATGCCTT